AATGTGAAATAATCAGCACCAAAAATGTGTTAGTTCCAAAATCTGCAGGAAAACATGTCATAAATAGCGTAAAAATAAATAATAAACAACATTTTGACATAACTTATTCATTTATTTTGAATCTATAAATATACTATTCGTTACTAATTCATGTGTAAAATGCATTAATATATGCAGAAATGAACATTAACCTAGATTAATAAATGCTGTAAAATGCTGTTAATTTAGCCAGGGTTATTATCGTTAATCAAAACTAAAACGAAATAAATAAAATTGTATTACTAAGAATAAAGGGTAACACTTTAAAATAAGGTCCATTAGTTAACGTTACTTAATGCATTAACTAACATTAACAATGAGCAATACATTTGCTACCATCAGTATGTTTCATTGTCAGTTCATGTTAATTAATGTAGTTAACTCATGTTAACAAATGGAACCTTATGGTAAAGTGTTACCAAATAAACATTAACCGAAATAAAATGAAATATAAAAAAGGGCCAAGTGCTAAGGCAACAATTTTCATTTTCATTTAGTTAGTGTAAGTACTAAAGTAACTAAAACTTTAAAAGAAAAGCACAACAAAATTACTAAAACTTTATCTAAAATTAAAATGAAAACAGAAAATATATATACTAATTCAAAATATTAACAAAAACTATATTAGTATATCAATTATACTTAACAACACTTAGGGCCATTAATATATCATGTTGTTAAAACATAAAATAAGTTATTCTGAAAGACTAACTAAGGGGTCCAAAACAACATTGGATTGGATTGCATTGACTAAAAAAAAAAAACACTCAGACATTTTTAAAAACATCTTCTTTTGTATTGCATATAAGAAATAGAATTATACAGGTTTGGAATGACATGAGGGTGAGTAAATGATCACAGGTTGTTCATTTTTGATCACTTTTAAGATCAAATTATTTACAACCCACTCTCACTCAATCTAACGTCGTCAAACGGGAACACCATCACACAGGCTTCTCAGCTTTCAGATGGCACTGCGGCAGTGACTAATACAGCCAGTGAGGGTGCTGTTTACACTGAGAGGATTAGAATTCCTCATTAGTGCCAACTGTGTTAACTTCTGTTCCTGTTTCTAATACAGCAGCCCTGTTGCTCAAGGACTCTCACCGGAAAGGCCCAGAAGCATGTGTGAGGTTTAAGGAGCACGTGCAGAACAGGAAAAATGGGATTTGGGCATTTCTCACTGTTCAAAATGCAGACGTATTTACTGTTTGTTTAGCTTGTTCACACATTTGTATAATAACCAACACGCAGGAATGAACACCAAACACGCGTCTAGCGGACGTGCAATTCTTTCTAGAACAATAAACAATGACAGTCTGAAAGTCATGCTACTTAGCAGGCACATTTTCACAATCATAGCTGTTAACTTTTAAAGGTATTTAAGACAAGAAGCACCAACCTAGTGACTTTTGTGTGCAGTTTTGAGATGCTCGAGTTTGAGTACAAAAGTGCTACTTCAGTCCCTGGCAAACCTAAAAATGTTTTAAGATGGCAAGATTTGCGACAGTTACTTATAGAGCCGAGGCTGCTTTTTAAGTAGCCTTGGTTCTATAAGTAATTTTCCCATTTATTTGCTCCATAAGGATTTCAAACCATTCTTCAATAAAAAGTTCTAAGCCTTAAACCAAACCAACCAGCTCCGAGATGAATCGCAACAGAACAATATTTAATTTGAGGCAAGAAAGTATTTGAAATTCTACTCCCATCCCATGCAGCACAATAAAATACATAATAGTCAAATCAAATTTATTTGCAAAGCACATTGTTTCAAAACAGCCTTTCAGAAAATCATGATGTATTAGGATAAAGCTGGATATACTATATAGCAAATAAAATAAATATATCGCTGGGCAGTTATATAGTTTACATTTTGTGGCGAAAGAAACAATCAAGCAGTTGAGATTTGCTATATAGTATATATTGCTTTGCGTGAGTTTTACTGTATGTATATGGAAAAAGTTGGATCCAACTTTAAAGGGATAGTTCACCCAAAAATGAAAATTCTGTCATTAATTACTCACCCTCATGTCGTTCCAAACCCGTAAGACCTTCGTTCATCTTCGGAACACAAATTAAGATATTTTCGATGAAATGTGAGAGCTCTCAGACCCTGCATAGACAGCAACGCAACTGAAATGTTCCCAGGTCCAGAAACGTAG